CCATGCTGTCTTTTACTCAGCCTCTCAGATGCCCTCTGTCTATCCCCAGGGTCTTTGATTTGATTCTGTTCTTCACTTGGCCTATGATGCTTTTCCAGTTTCTTACAAAGTCATTCTCATCACTTAGATTCTCACCCATGTGTTAGCTCCAAGAACCCACCACCGTCTACTCAGTTCAAAATAAGAGGTCTTGCCTTCTTCCCCTGTCCATTGCCTTCTAGTATTTCCCTTGTAGAGCAAACTATTGTCTAAAGCTGTTTTATGTGTTGGCTTATCACAGATGTATCTTCCTGATTTTAGTCCCACTCACTCATCTAGAACGAGAGGTCTCAAGAGAAATGCCTTCAATAATTTTCACATTGTAGCCTCAGCAACTAGAACCATGCTTGGCACACAGTGGGCACTCAAGTACTTGTTGAATCAAGGACTGTGTAAAAGGATTACCTCACTCAGGCTTGATAGAATGTGAGAAATGGAACAAAAATTCTTAGATTTCTGGCCTCTGCTAAATCAAAGGTGACAATACAAAACTAATTTTCCAGTTTATAGAGGATAGTCCCCATAACATTCCTTTAGAGATAGACATTGCAATAATAAATTCAATCTCTGTTAATATTTATAAACTAGGTTCTAGTCTAGATCCTAGTAATACAGCAGTGAATGAAGGGACACTGCACAGAAGTCATGGTATGAAAATACAAGTTTGGGAATCTAAAATGCCTTGATTTTAATTCCTACAACAGCACAAACTAAATGTCTGCTGTAAGGATCCAGGCATTATGCTGGCCTGCCCTGTTACCTGGCAGAATGCACGCAGGCAGTACCCTGGTCAGCCCAGGGTTCCATGAGTACTAAGTCTGCATGCAGGTGTAAAGGACCCTGTTAAAAGACAGACCCCCGCCCAATTATGCTCTCTCTCTCTCTTTTGCTTACTCTCTTCTCTTGCTCTCTTGCCCCCTCCTCTCCTCTCCCTCTCACTCACCCCCCTTTAATAAATCCCACATGGTTAGCAAATCTCTTGTTTTGTGTTCTGTCTCACGCGTCTTTAAACAAAAGAACAACATCTGCTAGACAAGTTATTTGGCTTCATGCCTCTCACATTCTTCATCTATAAAATGGGCACACAGCATATGTCATGTATACACTGAGAAGTCTCAGGGAGATGATGAACATGGTCTTGGGAATAAGGAATGAATGAATGAGTAGGATCTACCTTCCTTCCACTTTCCCTTGCCACAAACTACCCCACTGTCCTCTTTGGAAGATTTGAAGTGATCTTATAGGCAGACCCACACTCCAGGTAAGATCAAAGGCATTTGTTATACCCCTGAGAAGGGTGTGTGAGGAACACAGGCTTCTCTTCAGGCCTTGACTCAAAGCAGCCTTCCCAGGCCTCCCCGGGTCCTTCAGTGATGACTGCTTCCTAAGGAGACACTACCTGCAATTCTGGCCCTGCTTTATCTAAAGAGTTGATCTGTCTGTCATTAATACCCACTGTTTCTGGCAGGGGTGCATGCCCTCCTGGAGTCATCATGCTCAGGAGAGCCATGTTAGCATGCACATAGGGACACGCAGTTCAGGAGGCACCTCTGTCTTCTCTCATGATTTCTGCCCTTGACATGGGACAGATCAGGCAATCCTCCTAGATGTGTGCTCACTTCCCCAAGGAGGAAGGGAACTGGCTTTACCTACCACAAATCAGGACCTCTGGCTAGCTAAGAAGTTTCAGGACACACAAAGACAGGCACTTCCTAAAGCCAGACAGCTGAGGGATTAAGGTTTCCAAAAAGACAATGGCAGAGCATGCTTTTGAACAAGTTGGACACCATCATCACTTTTCCTACCTTCCAGTAACTGTCCCTAAGTAAAAGAAATCTCCCAGCCTGCTGTGCTGCAAGAGGCACACACTCTTGTTTCCTGAGCAGCTGGACTTGAGACATGGTAACCAAAGGCCACTCAGAGTTGGAGGGCATAGAGCTGCTGGTGCCTAGCTGCGATGGGGAGCCGTGAATGGGTTTGTAGACAGTGCAGTCTTCCAGTGCAGGCTGTGAATTTCCTATGAGCAGACTGGGAATTTTACCTGGTTGATTTGGGAGTTTTCTGGACTACAACCATCAATGATAATAGTAGTAGTAGTAGTAATAACAATAGCATCTGGCATATACTGAAGGACCTCTACATGCAAGGCTCTTTATATGTTTATCCTTTCTTCTCCATATGAAATAGAGATTGTTTTCTAATCTTCTTTGACACACTGGACAAGCAAGGCACACAGGATTCTGCTCAAGGTCACAGGCACATAGCTGAGATTGGAACCCAGGCTGCCGGGCTCTAAGGCCACGCTTGTGGCGCTGCATCCAGGAAGCACTAGATGTAAGCACCTTGGAGCATAGCATTAGCCACCCTGCTGTAGCCCCCGCTGCCCAGCACTGTACCCAAACTTGGCATTGCTATAAAAGAACATACTCGACACCTCAACCGCCCTAAAGATTGTTCCAAATTACAACTCCCAGCAGCTTGACAAAGCTCTAAGATGAATGGATTTCAGAGCCCTTGCTTTTCCTGACACCATAGCCTCCCACCTCCAGTCAGTCCTGGATCCACCATACAGACAGCATTAGTTTAATCCAAGAATAAAATCTGTTACATAAGCACATCGCAGACGTGGTGGGGAGCAGAGAAGCAGCCTGAGAGTGGCATTTGGCCACTATTAGTCTTCAAAGTGTGGCCCTTACAGAGAACTTTTCATCTCCCTGTGAGCCTCCCTCGGCACACAAACTTTCCTTCATCTCCACTCCTTAGTGCTTTCTATATTGTATTTTATTTTGGTCGTGCACATTATTCGAAGTTACTATAGCAACGTGTCACCAGCTGGTATCTCATAGTAATGTTGGCATTTAGGAAGCAGGCTCCTGAAGTTGCCTATTTCCCTCCCCCTGTGAACTCATCTCTCCACCAATCTCAAGTGAGTAGGGGATGCTTTCCAGCAGCCAAACCCCCCTCTATATTTCTCTATATTTCATGTATCAAAATGGAGCCGATGATAGCTCTGCCTTTGCCCCCAGTTTACTCCAACATGGCAAGAGTTCTGACTCATGTGTGTGGTGTGCATGTGTGTGTTTGCATTAAAGGTTGCTAAGGTGAAATGGTTAAATTGAATGTTGTGTGCGGAGCTATTAGTATTTCCAATAATATGATAATGAAGGTGACTTTTAATGCAACGGAGACAGTGTAATGATTTGGGGAGAGTTTCTACCAGCACTTAAGTCATCTGATATATTGCTCACACAGAATTGGTTGTCTCTTGTTCTCTTGGCAGCACATAGTAAAGAGCCCCTGACTGTTTTCCCTCAGAGCTTCAGTTCTCTCCCAGATGTGCAAGCCCTGTGAGAGCAGCGATGGGCTGAATTAATTAAAAGAACTGAGTGTCTTGGATAGCTGAGAGGGTCCTATGTCACAAAAATGCCCCACCACTCACAGTGTTAACCAGCCCCTCATCAGCCAAGTGCCTGCGATGCTTGTACTTATTTTTACACATTTGACCTAGTTTCAAACTGTGTGTCTTCGTGCTGTGATTCATTAGCCACATTTTAAACCACCCAATTGGAGCGAGGTGACTGCCTGGTTTGCGCCAGAGTCTCAGATTCAATTCCTCTCTGGAATTTAATATGCAAGTCCTACTGGGACTCTGTTTCAAGAAGCAATTTCCCATGGAAGCACCTGGTGTGCTGCTTTGGTATGGATGAGTGGTTGTCTCATGCTTGGTAGTAAATATATGTCGATTATAGAATTTCTGCCAGGAAGAAAAAGAAGAGGTTTCTAATTGGTCCAGATTACAAGGGATCCCCCACCTCCTGAGTATACCCCATGCAATACTGAGGCTTTTCCAGGTTGTTGGTGGGGATGGGAGTTTGAACTTTTAACAACATAAAGTTTGGGCAGCATCAACCCTGGGATTCTGTTGGTTGTCAGGGCAAAAACAGTATGATCATTACCACTACCCCCAAATTCCCCTGGCATTTAAAATATGACAGGTATGAAAGTATGGTCTCAACTTGTGAACTGAGAGAGGGCTAAGACACAATTGCCATCCTGAAGACAATCTTGAAAAGGGGCTACCCATCAGAAAAGCACAGCATGATTCCATTATTCCTTCATTGCATGACAAAGTGTGTATGGCCATTCAGTTCCAAAGAGCCTTTAATGACCCTACTGCCTGTGGCTTGCTCCATTCCAGGTCTCCCTTATAGTCCCAGACCTGTGATCAATCACCTAAGGATCCATAGCACAGAGCTAGGTACTGTGGTAGAAAACCGGATGCTTCTGGTTCGAAATAAAACGGAGTCACGTTATGATTAACAGGCAAATGCAAGTGACTTGTCTAAACTTCCAACGCAGTGCACTGTCAATCCTAGGGAAAGGCACACAACTGGGCTTTTCCTATGTGTTCATCAGGACAAAGAAATTAACAAGCTGGTAAAAGTGATTCCCATTGATCTGTGAACTCTGACGCACTGGCTTACTCCTAATAAAACAATGATGGTTTATTTCATAAAATGGCCAAACTCTCTAATGAAGAATGGAAAACCTCTGTCTCTTTCTCATTATTTAAAAAAAAACATAGAAGTTTTCTTAAACGAATCCTCAGAGAACACAGGCTGTTTGAGGTAATTCCAAGCAACTTGAGCTCCTCCGAGGTTTGCGCTTTGCATTTTCTCCTCTTCCAATTCAAATCAAGCCATTGGGAATAACAAGCCTTACGGATCGAGACATTTGGGGCAGCCTGCAGTTCTGACAATGGTGGATTTTCGCCACACACACACACACACACACACACACACACACACACACACACACAAGCTCACAGACTCCGCACTCATTTAACCAAAGTAAACTGTTGTCCAAGGGACAACGGCATTTTCTCCTACAAGATCACCGATTAAAAAAAAAATAAAAATAAAAGAGACAAAAAAAAAATCAAACCTTCCCACATCTCTTACCTCAAAGCAGTGGAATTACCTGCAGAGGATGCTGTCCCCTTCCTTGTACAACGAACCAGCCTTTGACCAGCAGCAAGATAACTCCAAATGAAGGAAAAATAAGCCCTTTATATTGTAATTTTCACTGTTTATATGCAAGAAGTGTAGTGGGTCTGCTCACGTAGGAATAAATAAAAAGCCGAACAAACTGCACGGCAGCTACCATGTGAAAAGAAAAGCCCTCTAGTGGTCACAGGCTGCATTCTTTAAGGAAGGGAGAGAAGAGATGGAGGGAGTAGAGGAAGCATATGTACACACACACACACACACACACACACACACACACACACACACACATAAACACACACACATACACAGACACACACACTCTCTCTCACACACACACACACACACACACCTACCTATATATCTCTTGAAACTCTACAGTCTTTCTTACATTCACTCTGGGCAGAGCTATAAAATTCATTTCTTGGTTTCAGTGGCATCTGGTTAAATTAGCCAGGATGCGGCTGTTTCAGCCTGGATTGAAAGCAGTGAATAATTTCACAAACTCACTACCACCCCCTGGATGTTGGAACATGAAATAACATGCAGGTAGCACCCCAAGGCTTCAGGTTCCTATGTAGAAAGTGACTAGAGCCCCTGATAGTCGAGGCTTGGTGCTTTCTGCCAGATGCCCACATTTCCTAAACACGGTGTGAGATTAGGGACTACCAGCTCCTGTGCAGCTGACCTGCTTAATCACAGAGTTCCTTCTTTTAAAAGGCAACTCAGGTGTTCCAAAATTATCAGTATTTTTAAGTGAGGACCCTATGATTTTACCTTGTTCTGTTACATAGCTGAACCTGTTGATGGAAAAGCATGCTACCACACTAACTTCCTAACTGAAAAGAACCAGGAAGCAAATGAGAGCTTATATCTATCCTATATCTGTTAGAGCTACTTTGGTGCATTAGAGCATGTAAACCATCTAGTCAACCTAAAAGACCTGCTACAGAATTCAGAGGTGGCTTCCTGGGGTCATTAGCAATAACCTTCCAGCACAAGAACATGCCTATAGGCTGGCTGCTGTACACATACATGCATGTATGCATATATACATACTTCTTATTTTTTAACAAAGTGAAAACTTTTAAAATAAAGGCCTTAGTGGTCTCTCTCTCTCTCTCTCTCTCTCTCTCTCTCTCTCTCTCACACACACACACACACACACACACACACTTACACATACACACACAGCTTTATTTTTTCCAAATATGAAACTTCTAAGCAGTGAGAGCCCCTGGACAATTCCTGCACCCCATCATCCAGGCCACCCTGTCAAAATATGTTCTGGGTTTGTCCCCAATGAGACCTCCTCTGGCAGAGATGGTAGCCCCTATGGGATCTTATAAGAAACAGTTAAGAATGTCATCTCAGCCCTCCTTGATCAGCAGCCAGGGCTTTCTTTGCCAGCTCCCAGAACATAGCTCCTCAAATGTGGCTTATATATGCCAGCATGCCCCAACACAGACAATTACTACTATGGGAAGGAGGACGTAGAAGAGGCTGAATTGATGCCTACTGGTGCATGCCTGGGTATAACTCAGGCTCCTCCATTCCCAGGGTTCAAGACCCACCTCCTCCTCAGGTCTCTACCTTGATTTACTTCTTGTCTGAATCCTTTCCTCGTGGACATGGATCACACTTTCCCATCTAAATAATAAGCTAATAAATGGCAAAGAATGTCTCTTCACATCTCCTTTATCTTCCTTAGCCCCAACAAGTACCACTCTTGGTAGCTACTAGGTTCACTCATGGCTGATTGATTCATGGTGACCCAGTAACTTATCTCTCCACAGAGACTCACAATGCACTTACCAGTGCTGTTGGAGCCTGTTGATCTTTCCAGGAACTCCTCTGGGAGTAGACATGGGAACAGACAAGACAATGGAGATTTATAGACAAAATTATTAACCAGAAAATGAAACTGACTGCCCCCAAAGATCTTGACTGACATAGGCTGAATCTCCTAATATCCACACGGAGTATAGTTCCCAATGTGCAAACAGCACAGAGATAAGGAAATGAATCTGTTCTTAGTTTTGTATCTGGAGCTCTTAGCATAGCTACAGGCACATAATGGGTGTTTAATGAATGCTTTTTTAATGGATTGGCAGTGATGACATGTCTTCTCAGGGAATCTTACATGCTGGTAACAGGAGACTCTTCAGTGGTGGATAGCCCTTTATCAGTGCCTGAGATGACTATTTGTTTTCAAGTGTGAAGCCAAGAAGATGGAAAGACAGATTTCATGGTTATTATATTTTTCTTTATGTTTTATAGAGTCATTTTGTGGCATGTATGACAGCCATCTTAGACCAGATGGGCGACCAACACTACTCCTTCTATATTGAAACTTTTCAGACCAGCTCAGACCTTGTGGTAAGTCTGAAGGACACGGAAGGGGGGTAGTATCAAGCAAGAGATAGAGAAGAGGGGAATGGCATACCATGCTCTTGTTCTCATGAGTTTGGGACAAGTATGTGTGTTGAACATTGTGACACACATGTGTGATTCCATTTCTTGTATGACTCATTTCTATAGTGCATCTTCAGTCCATTAGAGTGGAGTGTTGTTGCTCCCACATCTAGATTCCCATTAGCAAGCATTCCTTTATGAATCATGAAGGGTTTAGGACTTAAGACCATGAATGGCAGGAGCCTGAAAATTTCTGGTTGGAGTCTTACACTAACCACTGTGACCTCAGGCAAGTTAACCTCTTTTTAAAAAAAGATTTATTTATTTATTATATATACAATGTTCTCTCTGCATGTATCCCTGCAGGCCAAGGGAGGGTTACCAGATCTTATTATGGGTGGTTGTAAGCCATCATATGGTTGCTGGAAATTGAACTCAGAACCTCTGGAAGAGCACCCAATGCTCTTAACCTCTGAGCCATCTCTTCAGCCCAAAGCTAACCTCTCTTAAGCTTCAGTTGTTTTTAATTTTTGTTTTTATCTCAGAACTAGGGATAATATCATCTGTGTCACAGGCTTTGAAGGGATCATAGGAGTAGTAGTAAGCACTCAGCAAAAGGCAGCTGTCACTATGCTATGACAAGTGTACAGAGAAAGTTGGTTCCTGAGCACAACTTGCCTTTCACTATTCATCTGCTACACTCAACATCATCACCAGGCTTTTACTGGACATTCACAAGCTTGGCTCTCTGCCAAGCAACCAGTATATAGCATATGCTTGATCCTTATGGTAACCTCCTGAGGTAGACATTACTCCATTCTGTTGATGTGGAAGCTGGGGCCTTATTCCACAGAGATGGGTTATTCCTAGAAGCAAAATTTGCTGTATATAAACTAATGCTATTTCCAGAATTTTTCAAATTACCTGAAAGCACTGTTTTGAAATGATATGCTATATAACCTCCTTAGTACCCTACCATAAAGACACACACACACACACACACACACACCAAACAGAGCTGATCTGCTTTATCTATTTCATATATTGGGTTTTAGGTGAGATTTTCTTTGAACAGAGTCTGCAGTGAAGATGACTTGACAGGCATTGCTTAAGGAAAGAACTGGAGATGGGCAGGTTCACTCTGGGTCTGAAGCTTTACCTAAATCACCTAGGGGATCTGGCTTCATTACTTGCAGCTCAAGACACTTTTGGTAGTAGTGGTTCTTGACTTTGCTGCCTGGATTTGTGCTGAGTTTATTTTCTCTAAAGATAAAGATGAAGGTTAGCCTGCTGCAAAATTTGCTGGAGAACGTTTAAATCCACTTTGAACCTCTTTAAAAGAGAAGAAGACCCTTGCTACCTCACTTCTTTATGAGCTTATATGCATGTGTGACACTTGGATTAGCTATGCCTATGCATTGCTAATTAAATGTTCATTTAAATAATAGTGTGTTTGTTCAATGATTCGAGACAATACTATATAGTGTGGATTATTTACTTCTTGAATACATATTTGGGGAGATGATTACAAAATCATCAGCAAACACATTTACTTCTTTATTCTTTAAGACAGAACCAATAGAGCTTTATTTGGAGAGTCCACTTTTAGTTATATTCATATTCCCCTTGTATCTGGTGAGGCAGAGTCCTGGTAGCTCACTTAAACACTTCCATTTGTAGCCGATTGTGATGGCTTTTGAATCCCTTAGCATCCCTGATCCTCTAAAGGAAAATAAAGAAGGCATTTAAACTGCACCAAGGTCTACGCAGGTGCAGTCTGTCCCTGTGACAATGTGGGGTGACAGGTGTGCTGGGCACTTTTGCAGGACTTCTTGATGGAGACATTCATCATGTTCAAGGACCTCATTGGGAAGAACGTGTACCCTGGCGACTGGATGGCCATGAGCATGGTTCAGAACAGGTAAGCTGCCAGTGCCTCTAGAACGCTCCTGTGTACTCACCATCCTTTTGAAAGAATACCAGCATCCATAGATGGGAGAGAAGGGATTAAAATGTTAACAGGTTAAAATGTTAACCCTTTCCTTTCTGTGCTCAAACACAAGAAAGAAAGAGCTCCCGATCCGGAAAGTTACTCTAATAGCCCCCTACCCTCTGTAGTGTTTATGTTCCAGTTAAAATAGGTTCTGTGTCTAGTCTACGGTAGAAGAGCTTACATAAATGCTATAAAATTACATTATTTTAAAGCTCTTTTATACTTATAAAATATTTTCCATGCCATATATTAAATAAGTGTCCAACAACTTTAAACAGGTTTCCACTTTACAGGACTTTGGGGGTCTTTTAATATGCTGATATGATTTTCTAAGGTGAAGAAACAGAAGGAAACATTTTACAGTTGAATCTGCCTTTGGAACAATGTAGGGTTTAACATACATTTTTGTTTGTATCTGTAATGCCTAGTCATATCTCATAGAATATCAATGTAACTCAAGACTAATTCAGACCCCCACACAAACAATCGCAGCCTGGGATAAGTCATTACAAATGATTCCAACCTTCACTGTTGCCTCTCTAAGACCATCTTGCCGAAGTGAAAGTAAGTCCTGACACTCAGTTATTCTAAGAGCCCCTCCCTCCACTCCCCTTTCCCCCAGCATCTTTGGCATGTTGTGGTTCCCTTGATCTGTCCCAAAATCTGGTTCTTAAGTCCCACCCGTGTCCTCTCCTCAGCTATGCCTTTCCAGCTCCTCCCTTCCTTTCTCTCCCCCTTTCCTTTATATTTATTTCAG